AGAGAGAGAGAGAGAGAGAGAAAGCAAGCCAACAGGTCCAGGACTCAAACCATGGTCGGCCATGTGGGAGTCCAGTGCCTTAAGCACCATGTCACCTGTTGACCCAAAGCATATTATTTTAGCATATGCAAAAACATACTCTGGTTTGTTAAACCAGGTTAGACTAAACTCTTATGTTGTTGTTCTGCCTTGTATTTCTTTTTTGCTCCTCTCTGTCAAAATCTGACGTATCCTTTCAGGGACCAACTCAAATAAAGGTTTTAGCACCACTCCCTACATGTAGGCAAGACTATTTCATAAATAGCTACATAAATAAATAAATATCTTGGTAAATATTCAAAAGATCTTAGTGACAACTGATTCCTTCCTCGAAGTTACATGTGTTTAACTTAAAAATCATTCCCCTAAATGTTTCAAAATCTGGATAATGTTTTTAATTGCTGCAATAATTTTTTTAAGAATCATTTTTATTGAATTTTATTCAACATTATTATTATTAGTTTAATTTGACGAGAGAGAGAAGGAGACAGAGAGAAAGCAAGCTGCCAGGTCCTGTACTAGAACCATGGTTGGCCATGTGGGAGTCTAGTGCCTCAACCACCACACCACCTGCCAGCCCCTCAGTAAAATAATCTTTAAGTTCATTCAGACAACAAAGCTAAATCAAAGATTTCAAAACTTGACAATCAATTACTCAAATCACACTCTAAAAAGAATAAAATATTTGTCATTATAAAACCAAGAGCATCATGTTCTAGTTACATGTCTTCTACCGCAGTGGCTCCAATTAAGTTCATGTTTGTCTCAATATCATCGAAAACCTTTTCCATTTTTTCTTCCCTGTCCTGTAAGGCCATTTTTGCCTCTATGAGCTGTCTGTTAATTCTTTCATAATCATCTGGAGCAATTTCTTTGAAGGCTACACAGAGAGTCCGATATCCATCCTAGAAGCAAAGTAGATTTGTAGTTATCCTAATAGTAACTGAAAAGACTCACACTCTCTTTAAATGCTCTCGCTTTACCCATATGTACAAAAAAGAAATTCTGGCACAGTTCTATTGTTAAGAAAGTGAACAGACTGTATCTAAAAAGGTAACAACCACTTAGGTTCAGAATAACAAAATAATAGTTCTTTTAACAAAGATTCTTGAAAATTCTTTTGGGTTCTATACTATGACCAGAAACTTGCTCCAGGATAATGTTTCATATTAAAACAGGAAAATAGTATTATTAAATCCCCCAAGACAAAAAACAAAACACAGACCATAAAAATAAAGTAAAATTCATTTAGACATTCAGTTATGTAGCAATCCCATAAACATGGTCATCTACCATAGTTCTTGGTTTACTTCATGGGGGGTGTAAACTCACCATTGCATTACGTTCTACATGAGTTTTAGTTAACTCAATTTCATGATTTTGCACCCTGGGAAAAACCGCTGAGTCTGCTCCTTTACAAAAGAGAATTATGTCTCCTAAAATAAAGAATCAAAGCACTTAACTTAGAAGAATGTTAAGACTGGTATTGGGATTTTAATAACAGATTACCATTAAGGTGGCCTCTCCCACCCAGCTACTGTATATTCTGAGCCTCCCTTGCAATGCTCACCCAAATGGAATGAGACATCTTGACCTTTAGTCTGTCAGGAATATTCACCACCTCTTTAGTCATTATGGACACAAGTAATAAGCCAGAGTTTACAATACGCACCTCGGTTAAAGTGTACTTCCTCACAGAGAATTACAGAGGACCAGGCTTGTGTTAAGAACCTGAATCTAGGGAACAGCAGTTAGCATAATGGCTATGTCGCTGGATTCCCATGTAGTCGATCGCGGTTCGAGTCCTAGACCCGGTGGCTTAAAATTCACGCTGGGTGCATGTGCGTGCATGCCCAAGATCCCGAGAAGAGAATGGAGGAGAAGGGATTGCGGCATGGCAATACCCCCTGAGGATGAGTTCTCATTTTCTGTCTGTCTGTCTCTGTCTTTCTGGTGAGCGCATGTGCCTTATAGCAAAAACCTCCCCCCCACCCCCAAAAAAAGAACCTGAATCAAAATTCTCTCTTAAAATGTAGTCAGCCACTGTCTAGAGTACACATATGGCATCTACAGATGACAAGAACCAAACATAAGCTCAAACAAGCTGACATCATTTTGAATAAACTATACAAGATAGCTTTTAAAAGTTAACTTTCAAAACACTGGTTTGATGGTTTTTACTGGAAACTTGAGAACTGCTTTGTAGGATGCTGGTACAAGCATAGTTTTAGATCAGTTCATATACCCAGGAAATAGTCACAGCTGAACGCTAAGAAAGACTTTATCCTTATAAGGCAAAGAGCTAAGTTCAACAAATTAAAAAAAGTATAGCTCAGAGGTCAATGACCAATGACCTTTTGCAGACCATTTCCTTAGACATCTCACCAACTGCCATAGAACACGTGTGGGAATGCATCCATAAGAACAGCAAAAATTTCAAATTTTTTTTTTCATTTTTTTCCTCACACAAAGCGTTTTTAAAAATCACAAAATAGGGACCAGCAGTTAGTGTAATGGCTATGTCGCTGGACTCCCATGTAGTCGACCACGGTTCAAGTCCTGGACTCGGTGGCTTAAACTCACGCCGGGCGCATGTGCGTGCATGCCCAAGATCCTGAGAGGATAATGGAGGAGAAGGGATTGCGGCGTGGCCATCCCCCTTCGGGGGTGATTTCTTGCTTTCTATCTCTCTCTGTCTCTCTGGCGAGCGCACGTGCCCTATAGCAAAAACCTCTCGAATAAATGAATAAATAAATCACAAAATAAATTCCTGGTCACACATTAAAATCAATTTTATGACTCTGCAGACACACCACAAAGTAGAATAAAGTGGGATATGTTCCCCCAAAGGTCTGTCTGTACTCTGCCATTTTCAAATTAAGGACTTTGAAACATCTTTAATACTAAAAAGTAAACTACTAGGAAACAAATCAAGGATACTTTGAAGAAGACAAACCACCATGTTGCCTCTCAAAGACATGAGGGAGCTCAGAAGGATGGTCCTGGTTCCCTTGCAGAAGGCAAGCTTTACTCTGTCAAAGGGCACCAAACCACCATGTTGCCTCTCAAAGACATGAGGGAGCTCAGAAGGATGGTCCTGGTTCCCTTGCAGAAGGGCAAGGGAAAGGGCACTGAGTGCTAGGGTGGAATCTCAAATCCTTTCCCAAGAAGCCAGGCCCTTCATTAGCTCTTTCTCATCTGCGTCCAGGGAGTGTGAAACATAAGGGGAACTATTAGGTCACCAGGAAAGTCCTGATGTGTTTTTCTATGCAAAAATGTGTCTTGACTTTCCCAATGACCCAATAGTAACATCAGGAAGGGATAACCAGTAACTCTACACTCAAGGCTTCTGCTGTTAGTAATCCTAGGCCATCCAACTATACTGGGCATGTAAACATTGGTGACCAGTCAGTACCTGAACCATACAGCAGTCAGCCTTTCAGTTCCTGTTTGGACACCCAGGGCGAAGGAATACAATTCTGTTTCCAAGAAAATGCCTGTACTATTCTACCAGGAGGCTAACGCTGACAATGTGGTAAACTGCACATACTGTGCTAAAATAAATACATAAGGGCATATACAAAAGCTACTGTTTTGAATGACTATACTTAACTCTGTACTACTATGTGAAATTTATCCTCTTTATATGTTGATCAACATAAAACCCTACAAACGGAAGAAGAGAAAAATACAAGTTTTTAGATGCATACCTCCTTGAGTCTTCACAATTACACTCATTCGTCGGCGGACAGAATCAAAGTTTAAGGTATGAAGAAGTTCATACCTTTAAGAGAAGAGAAATGGGAAAAGTAAAATACCCAGATTTTACTCAGAGAAATAAAATACAACATAAACATCTTAAGATAATATTTAAATATCTTAAATGAATAGATAACTCTCCTTTTAGGGTTGGAGTCACTGGTTATGTACATAAATGACACTTCTCTTTGTCTTTGAAATTTTTCTGACCACAGAACATATTGCTAGAGGACAGCAATGTTGGTTAGAGGTATTTATATCCTTTCACTTTGTTACTTAAAATGGTAAGAATGATTACATAGGAATAGAGGACAAAGAGCTATCCCATCAAGCCATGCCTGTAGGGATCTAGAAAGAGACACACTATTTTTACTATATTCCTTATTTCTGGTGAGAGTAAGCCATTGGTTTTGGGAGGGTGTGTGTATAAGATACTACGTGTAGTGTCTCATTTTGTGTTGGCGAGATCGGAGGTACTGTTTCGGACTAGCTAGCACTGGACTCTGACAATGATTTTAAGTCCCTGGTAGTCAGACTGAAAAGCCTTCTGTGCATCTGAGTAACCTCCTCAAGGGGGCATATTACCCAAGTGTCTCTACATGTATTACAGGTTTCTGAGATAGATCTGAGAGCACCTAGGGGCCAGAATAGAAGTCACATAAAATAATTACATTCAGAGTAAGTTCAAATAAACGGATTCAAATTAATCACAGAGCCTAATTAAAATCTGTCATCAGGCCTAGCTGCAATGGTACAAGCATGCCACATGATGGCTGGAGATATAGGAGAGGCCCATATTCAGTTCTCAGACTAATCTAAAGAGGCCAGGCTTAGTAGCATTTACCTATAATTCAAGCTAATTAGAAGACTAGAGCAGGAGGATCTCAACATGGCAAAACTCTGTCAAAATTTATCTATTTCTCACTTTCTCATAAAAACTAAACAAAACAATACAATGACAATGACAATAAAAATCTGTCATTAAGTAAGAAAGGGAGCTTTGTTCCTTGGGGGTTTTGTAGCAAAAGAGGAAATGTGGTGACACTGTCGAATCTGAGGACTTGTCCTAAGGCTCTCATCTAAACATCTAGAACAAGATAAAGTTTCTGACTGACACCAAAACTACCATTATTGGCTATGCTGGCAATCCCAGAATGACTTCTTGTGCTCGTTCACTGATTTTTCTTGTAGCATAAAGGCCTGAAATGTCATCTACATTTCAGAAACAATCCATGCAGACTATCCTTTTGGCTACTGGACCCATTTGTGAACCAAACTGAAATTTCCACCACAAAGGCTAGTTTCTGTCATTCTGTAAAAATTGGTTTCTCCTACTCCAACTACATTTATATACAACTCTGAATAGGAGAGCAGTTCTATATAGGTGTATCTGTTTCCTTTGCCACTATTCCTGAATTCACTTAAATTTGCTGTGGAATTAAGGGACAAACATCAAACACAGAGCTACTTACTCTTCTATTTCTTTTCTTTGGTTCTCTAGTCTCATATGTCCATTCCGGTTTCCTAAAAATGTGAACCCATACCTATAAAAAACAATAACAACAAAAAAACCTTTGCATATCTCTAAAGAGTGATTAATTTCCCTTGCAATGGAACTACTCATGCTTGTTTATTCTTTTCTTCTCTATTCTCAACCCATAACTGCACTTCCCATTCCTGGTTGAGTTGGTAATAGAGCAAGTAAATGCCCTGCCACAGCTATCGTAACCAAGGGAGAAGCATTTGTAATTCCAATTCTGCAGCTAACATACTAGGTGACCTTTTAGTCATTTAATCATCTTGGGTTTCATGGGTAAAACTGAACTGTCTGTTATTAAATGATGTCAAAATCACTAGTAACACTTCAGAAAAAACACATATTGAACAACGAGTGGTCATCGTTGTATGATTTGCAAAATATGATATGGACATTGAGATTTCTGGATGGTAGGTATAAACAGTAAGATAAATTACATCTACATATCATTATTTTCTTTTATTTTTTGGAGAAGTTTTTATTATAGGGCACGTGCACTGGCCAGAGAGACAGAGAGAGAGACAGAGAGTGAGAAATCACCCCCCAGGGGGGATGGCCATGCCACAATTCCTTCTCCTCCATTCTTCTCTTGGGATCTTGGGCACGCACGCACAGGCACCTGGCGTGAGTTTAAGTCACCAGGTCCGGGACTCGAACTGCAGTCGACTACGTGGGAGTCCAGCGACATAGCCATTACGCTAACTGCTGGTCCCTGTATCATTATTTTCATTTTAGTTTTAATTGGTTAGGTTTGGGAAATTTTCAACAACTTTTAGATAAAGTAGTTTGGTTATTGATTAAATAATACCAGATGTACATAGTAAGGTTACTGAAGCAGAGGAAAAAAAGAAAAAGTCCTGTCCTGTGAGTTTTACTTTCTTAGGAGAAGTACAAGACATGCTTACTTCTTAGCTCCTTTCACCAAAGCTATTTCATCTGGTGAAGAGGAGATATAGGTTAATTCAGGTGATTCTGCAGCTCCATCAACAGCATCATGTGTTTTAATTTCTACAGTATGACATAAACACAAGGCACGCAGAAAGAGCTCTTCTCGATTCTGTAGAACAGCAACAAAAGAATGAGTATTATTTTTACTTTAATCACTGGGTAAATAGGCACTGAACAAAGAAAAGATATGAATGTGAATGTTATAGCCTCTAGCAAACTAAGTAACAGAAATCTGTAAATTCCTAGTACTCAAATAAATCCTTCTATTCCTAAAAGAATTCCTGGTTCTCAGCTAACACACCCCTAGAGGTTGTATCAACTCCTTCAAATTACCATAGAGCCACCTAAACAAAATCAGTGACTTTTTCAAACCCTAAAAGAATTAACTCACTAATTCACAATCCAACACCTCATAGGAGGGAGAGATACTGGTTCTTTTAATGTCAGAAGCTTCTAGAACTTCAATGATTTTAATAGATACCCTTTTTTAAACTTATATTTTAAAAGCCAAAGCATGAAAAACTGTAACACAGACATGCAAGAGAAAGTTTAATCCAATGTCATTTCCCACAATTCTTTATACTTATAAATCTATTTGTTTACAAATTCCAGAGGTTTTAGTAAAACAAGAATGGTGAAGCAAACAAATGGTTATTCAAAAGTCTGTATCAGGAGCCCGCTGAAAAATTCATTATTGGGAAGTTCAAAAAAATTCATGGAAACATGTAAAGTACAAGTTTATTTTGGTACCAAAAAATTTTGAAACCCATGTGTTTTTTCATCACATGCATTTTTCACTAACTTTTGAAGACCCCTAGTATTTCTACCATGTAAAGTTAACACATGTAAACAAACAGATTGATTTCTCAGATAAAATGGTATTGCAGAAAATGTCACCTTATCTGCTTTGTCATAATATGTTAAAGGTCCATCAGTTTGGGATAATCCATCCACCTCCTGAGTTACACCTTTATACTTGTGCCCATCTATACAGCATTCAATGAATTCCATGCTATTTTCAGTCAGTTTTCCAGTTTTATCTTTGAATACATAATCCACCTAAAAACAGGGACAGAAACATATACGTCTTCAGTTTCTTCAGTATGATTAATATTTAGTTATCTGTCAGGCATGACTATTTTCATATCCACAGAAAATCACCTCTTCTAAGACTTCTTGTAAAATGTGAGGAAGCTACACAGGCAATACTATCAAACCAATGAGAATTTTATTTTATTAAATAATTATTTATTTAACTTCATTTATTATTATAATCATCATTATTGTTTTAATTTGACCAGGAGAGACAGGAAGAGAGAGAGGGAAAGTGAAAAAGCAAGTCTCCAAGTCCAGGACTTGAACCACAGTTGACCATGTAGGAGTCCAGCACCCCAACCACCAAGCCATGCCACCTACTGGCTCCCCAATGAGAATTTTTAAAGACACTGGAATAGTACCACATGTACTCCATAGTACTGATAGAATTCCATGGTGTGGAGAAGTAACACAAGAAAAATAAATTTTCTAAGTGGGAAGATTATACTGGCCACTTGTTTTACTTACATCCATATCAGATATACACACAAACACTTTATTACTTTATGGGCTGATATGTGTGAGGCAACTTCAAAATATCCATAGAAAAAATGGAATTAAAATAAAAGTTTATTTGGGTACAAAAACTTTGGGAAATTCATGTATATTTCTTTTATAATACATGTTTACTCCTGGCATACTAATTTTGGCAGCACAAAAACACTTATTCCTCATATATTTTCCACCAAAATAAAAATTTTTTATGGCTGAATAGTATTTCACAATGTAAATGAGAAAGACAGGAAGATATAATAGCAGAGATGGCAAATGTAGATACCAGAGACTGTATAGGAAGGGGTAGATACTGAGTGACTAAGAGGGAAGAGCTCAGGAAAAAACATTCAACAGACACAAGAATACAAAGTTACAAAGTTATCTGTTGAGGATGATATATACCTTAATACCTTTGACTTGCTTGACATGCAATACATACATGCTTTGAAAAATCATTTTGTACTTCAAACTCTGGTCCCCCAGATCTAGCCAGGAAAGACCATATACATTTGACTTCTGAACAGCCCATTTCAGGGACTAGGACGTCTGAAGATTTTCTGCCCAGACTTTACCCTCCTGCCCCCCACCCCCCAGATCTAGCCCCGTACAACACCTTGTTTATTCTCTCTCTCTTCAACTCTATTTTTTCTCTTTCTTTTTTTTAAAAAAATTTTTAAACTTCTTAGCTCTCTGATGCTCTTTCATATTGCTAATTCTTACCTTTCTGCCCGTCCTCCAACATAAGACAAGCCAATCATCAGCCATATACATTTGACTTCTGAGTGGTCCGTTTTTATTTTTAGCTTAAAAAAAATTTTTTTTAATAATATTTTGCCTTTTTTGTTTGTTTTCTTTTCCTTTACATTGGTCACTTTTCTGCTCTGCCTTCACATACTGAGTTTCTAGACAGGTCTAGGTGCATAGTAGCCAAATACCTGATTACTTTTAGGGTCAGAGTAATCTTCATATTGCATGGACTCTACTTCAAAAAGGGAAAAAAAATGGTACTGCTTAGAGTGTGCAGATCACCTCTGCCTGCATACCTCTGAAAACTCAGATTTAACTCCCCAAATTAGGAAAAAACGTATAATCCATCAATTGACCAGAAACCACCAGAGAGGCACAAGGAATATGAGAAGTCAAGAAAATATCTCTCCCCCAAGGAAAAAGAATAACTATTCATCCTCCAAAGATAATACAAGGGAACTTGTGGAAATGTCAGATAAAGAATTTAGAATATTCATAGTGCCATAGCTAACAGAGATGCAAGAGAAGAGAGACAATGAACTCCAGAAGATGCAGGAGAAAAGGGACAATGAGGTCCAGGAGGTAAGGAAGTTTGTCCGTGATCTGAAAGAGGAAATACACATCATAAGAAATAATCAAATAGAATTGTAAGAGATGAAGGCTGTGTAATATAGGAACTCAAAAACTCCCTTGAACATATAAAAAGGAGATTAGATCATGTGAAAGACTGAATCTCAGATGTAGAAGACAGAACTTCTGACCTAGAAAAATACACCAAAAAGATTGAAAATATAACCTAAAAATATGAGAACAATACACGACTTACTAGGTAACTTTAAACGTCCAAACAACCAGATAATCAGTATCCCAGGTGAAGAAACTAATAAGGGCATTGATAATCTATTCCATGAAATCCTGCAAGAAAACTTTCCAAACCTAGAGAGGCATTCAAATACCCAGACCCAAGAAGTACAAAGGACCCCAAACAGAATCAACCCAAGATCTTCTCCAAGGCACATCATAGCCAGATTGACCAAAACCACAGACAGAAACAAGATACTAAAATTGGCAAGAGAAAAACATCAAGTTACTTTCAAAGGATATCCCACCAGGCTAATGTTGGACCTCTCATCGGAAATGATGCAAGCAAGCAAAGAATGGAAAAATACATTCAAAGTGTTAAGTGAAAAAACAATTTCTACCAAGAATACTACACCTAGCAAGATTATCCTTCATATGGCAAGAAAAGACAAAAGTATTCTCAGATAAACAAAATCTGAAAGAATTTATCAACACCAAACTAGCTCTCCCAAGAAGTCCTGAAGGGAGTGCTATACCAGAAAAACTAAAATTAGACACTCGGAAATAAGAACACAAAAAGCAACCAAGAGAATGGCCAACTTAATTGTAGGGACAAGTCTGAAAAGATTAACGATAACTTTGAATGTTAACTTCCAGAGTTTAAATGGAAAGATCAGACCACAGTACACTGAGAATTCAATAGAAGAGAGATTAATTACAGGAGACTGAACTGGTGAAATAGAATTTTTACGACTTTTGACTAAAACATTACTGCTTTTTTCCTATGCTTGGTTGTCCAGATTTAAGGATTTTTGTCTTCTCTTAAACTGTTGATAGGTTCATCTACCTACTGTTTGAACTAAATTCTAACCTTTATCCTGGCTTTAAGTCTTAAGCAAATTTCTCTTAACATTTTTTATTTTGATCTATCAAAACTAAAACTGCTTTTCTTAACATCAAAAAATGCACTAAAAATTGCTGTTTAATGACTGCAGTAAGCTGTATAGCCTCAGCTAGATGTACTTTATACTATGTTCATTCTACTCACTGAGGTTTATGCCTAAAGTCAGACATGTGTTCATGGATATGTATACATCAGCTGCGCTTGCTAGATCATTAGTGAATCAAGAAAATGTGAAAGAAGGGGGAGGGCATGGAAAGCAACTGTAGATACCAGAGACAGTGCATGTGAGGGTGAGAAATGGCAAAGGGTGAAAGACAGAGAATCGGGGGAGGAGGAGAAGCAAAGTATATAGAAGAAATAGAAAATTATTTGTTGACGATAATATGTATGGCAATCCTGTTGATTGAGTCAATATACAGTGTATTCTAGATGGAAAATCTCATTTTGTATACTGTAATGATGTACAGTGAATGAATGTAAATAAATATATTTAAAATAAAAAAAGACTATTGACTAGGTTTGTTTTAGTGAGGAAGAGTAAAATTACCCACATAGAAAATGAGAAAATGTTAAAAAAAAAAATGAGAAATCTTAAAATAAAGAAATGTACTGATGTGAAACCAAAAAAAAAGAAAAAAGAAAAAAACATTTTGTACTCTATAAAGATGTACAATGATTAAATGTAAATAAAAATACTGGATTGAAAAAAATGCATTATATCATATAAGGTACACAAACAGTATAGAATATAGACAAATGGAAAAAAATAATGTTAACACTTAATTAGAAGACATAACAGGTTAATAGTGATCCAAAACATAACAGAAACTTCTTTCTAAATACTATGCATATTTTCTGTATATTTCTCAAGTTTCCAAATTTCAAAAAAGGCAGAGTTTACAAAGATAGGTTAAAGTCTTATATAAGCATATTTTCACAAATAATGGAAAAACATAAGCTATGACATAACTTTTCCATTAAATTAAACCATTTTGAGTATTTCTATTTTATCTCAGTTTTTAATCTCTTCTATTTATATCATCTGGCTTTTGGGAACCTACAATTTCATCCTCCTTTTAGGCAATTTATACTTATATAGTTAAAATTATGGGCTGACAGGAACAAGCATAAGCACAAGATTAAAGTTTTTATTATGTAAGGGAGAAAGAGATGAGCTCCAGCAGTAGTTGCTTTCTAATTATTTTTCAAAAGCTTTTCACAGTAGCAGCACTGGCACAAATATAGCATTCCAATCTTCCTTTTTTTTTTTCCTCTTAGCCAGCCAAGTTTGAATTCTCTCTTTAATCCAAGTGGTATTACCCATGTATCGTTTAGATTTTTTCCAATTAAAATGAAATTCTTTGGGGCTTTTTCTCTGATCAAAATTATTACCCCTCATTTTCCCCTGAAGGTTGTCCTGGGTTGTTTCACCTTGTGTACTGGGATGAGATTTAACCCACTCAGAATATTTTTAATTAGTGTCAAAGGTGGTAGTTTGAAAATATGAAGTACAATGTATTTGCTTATATGTAATAGTTTGGGCAATACACATCTGCATATATTGACTCTCACAGACACAGGATAACAAACTGTACTCCAATGTCCAATGCAGTAACTATCAAACTGCGGCATGTGTCAAATGCATGTGGAAGACTTCTTAAAACTCAAATCACTGGGCTTTGTCTCCAGAGTTTCTAATTTAGTAGGTTTGGGACGAAGTAAGATAATGTGCACTTCTAACTCCCCAGGTGATGTTGATACTGCTAGTCACAGCTCAGCTGCTCGTATACCACATGCTCAGGAAAAGAGGGGAACAGTTGCAATTCACATTAAAAAGTTTTTTCATATTTAGGGACAAGCAGTTAGTGTAACACCTATGTTGCGGGACTCCCAAGTAGAGCACCGCGGATCGTGTCCCGGACCTGGTGGCTTAAAACTCATGCCGGGCACATGTGCATGCGTGCTCAAGATCCCGAGAGGAGAATGGAGGAGAAAGGATTGCAGCGTAGCCATCCCC